TACAAAAATAAACTCAAAATGGATTAAGGACCTAAATGTAAGACCTGAAACCATAAATCTCCTAAAAGAAAACAAGCAGTAACGTGTTGGACATTGGTCTTAGCAATAATTTTTGGACCTGTTTCCTCAGGCAAATGCAACAAAAGCAAAACATTTGCATCTATGTCAACCTAAAAATCTTTTGCACAGCAAAGGAAACCATCAACAAAACAAAAAGGCAACCTTCTTAGTGGGTGAAGATATTTTCAAATGATATAGCTGATAGGAGTTAAATATCCAAAATATATAAAGAACTCATACAATTCAGCACCAAAAGAAAAATAAATCAAACAATCTGTTTAAAAAATGGAGAGGGGACCTGAACAGACATATTCCCAAGAAGATATAGAGATGACCAACAGATATATGAAAAAATACTTAACAATGCTAAGCCTTAAGGAAATGCAAATCAAAACCAAAATGAGATATTACCTCACACCTGGCTAATATCAAAAAGACATGAAATAAGTGTTGGTGAAGATATGGAGAAAAGGGAACCCTCGTGCTCTGGTGGTGGGAATACTGGTGCAGGCACTGTGGAAAACAGTATAGAGTTTCCTCAAAAAATTAAAAATAGGAGTACCATACAATCCAGTAATTCCAATTCTGAATACTTGCTCAAAGAAAATGAAATAATTTCAAAAAGATATATACACCCTTATGTTCAGCATTATTTACAACTGCAAGATATGAAAGCAACTTAAGTGTCCATTAATAGATGAGTGGATAAAGATGTGATATGTGTGTGTGTATTGTGTACACACACACACACACACATCAATGGAATATTATTCAACCATAAAATGAATGAAATCTTGCTATTTGCTACAACATGCATGAACCTAGAGGGTATTATGCTAAGTGAAATAAGTAAAAAAGAGAAGGACAAATGCTGTATGATTTTACTTTATATGTGAAATCTAAAAAAAAGAAGAAATAAAACAATAACACACTCATAAATACAGAGAGCAAACTGTTGTTTGCCGGAGGAAAAGGGTTAGGGGGATAGGCGAGATAGGTGGAGATTAAGAGATATAAATTTCCAGCTATAAAATAAGTGAGTTATGGAGATGTAAAGTACAGCATAGGGAATATAGTCAATAATATTGTAGTAACTATACATGATTACAGATGTTAACTAGACCTAACATGGTGATCATTTCATAACTTACATAAATGTCAAATTGGGGCACCTGGGTTGGCTCAGTCAATTAAGCGTCCATCTTCAGCTCAGGTCATGATTTCACTGCTCGTGAGTTTGAGCCTTGCATCGGGCTCTGTGCTGACAGCTCAGAGCCTGAAGCCCACTTTAGATTCTGTGACTCCCTCTCTCTCTCTGCCCCTCCCCGCTCACGCTCTCTCTCCTTCAATAATAAATAAACATTAAAAAAAAGTCAAATCACTTTGTGGTACACCTGAAACTAATATAATATTGTATGCCAACCACACTTAAATAAAAACTGGTTTATGAAAAATTATGTATAGCAGTGCCATAATTTTATTTTTATATGTATATATAAAATGTTTATATTATTATGTAAATATAAATATATGTATTAATTACATATAATAAAGTATACATAAAAATAGCTACATGTATAGATAAATGATGGCAGAAATATATACTAAAAAGTTAACTGTTTTTATCAGTGATTAGCGAATTATAGCAGTTTGTTTTCTTTTTGCTGTTTTGCATTTTCATTGTTTTTTCTGCCATTAACCTGTAATGTTTTTGTTTGCAGAAGAAAGAAAGAAGCTATAAAAAGAACAGTCACAAAAGTCTATGTTAGAAGTGATTTGTTGATTATGCCTATAATGCCCAGTAGGTTGACTTCATTCTACAGGGAATCTTTTGGTGCCATTGAGGGAATTTCAATACTATGTTCACAAACAGGTTTGAAGATGGGAAGAAATAAATATCTTCCCTTCCAAACAGTATTTTTCAAAGAAAAATAACATGAAACAAATAGTTGTCTTTGACATTTTTTTCTTGTATCTTAAGAGCTCTTCATGAAAATTTATATTTTATGGCATCTCTGCATCTTCTTATAAGCATTAGGTGAGAATACAGTACTTTATTTTATTGTAAATTATTCTTTCCAAGCAAACTATTAGAAAATTCCATTTTAGTACCAAGAGTTTTTCATGAGCTATCAAAATTCGTGAAAAATATTTTTCAGATGATTTAGTTTCCAAATGGAACATCCTGAATTGAATAGCTAAATAAACATTATGTGTGTTTCCTCTGAAAACTTTTAGACATCAAGCTATGTCTTTGTAGAATGAAGAATTGAACTCAGGCAATTCAGTTATGGCATTGTGTGCTTTACTATCATGCTTATGCTACCTACTAAAGAGCAGAGGGGGGTCATAGTCACACAGACTGTGGGTGGAAATGTACCTTAGAAAATCTGGTGCTTTAGATGAGAACCTCAAAACAAGGGTCATAAAGCTCATAATTACTTGCCAATTCAGAAGTGGAATAGAGATTCAAAGCCTCTGAAATATTGTTACATTATTGTTAATTTGGGGGGGCAGTATAATGAATTATAAAACACATTTAATATTTTTTGTGTCTTTGAAAATTAAAATTCATTCTGGCATTTCATTTACATGGAAACACAAACAGAACGAGGAAGATTTCTAACTGTTAAGAATCATAGAGTTATGGGGTTTTTTAAAGGAGTGTATGATTTCCCCTTCAACTTGGATCTTTTTTAAGATGATACTTTGCTGGAAACATGCACACACACACAAAAGAGTTCGCCACAACTATTAAGAGCCACAACTTGTTATATTCTGTGAAGAGCGGAAAATAAGGATAATAGGGTGTTTGTAGCGATGTGACAGCAGCGTGCTTATTTGATGATTACTGCTGATACTAACAGCGTCTCTGTTTCTTAAGGTCTAATGTAAATCTCAAACACGTTTTCTCTTTTTCTATTTCCAGTGAAGATTGAGAAGAACAGTTTTCCTCCAAATGGTTTCCTTTTTACAGGGGAAAAAATTCCAGGTGACTTTTTATAGAAAATACCTCAATTCTCATATGTATTTTTATTGTTCAAACATTATTCTCATTAGAACTGAATATTTCACAAACTCTGTCTTCCCTCAATTTTCTGTACTGTTCTCTGTCTTTGAATCACCAAGCTGGCACTTTAGGGAAATGTTTCAGGCCAGTACAGACTTGGGGAATGAAGTCTTCAGCTTCTGTACAGAACTGGTGACTGGGTTATAGGAGTAAACATGGGGCGCCTAGGTGGCTCAGTCGGTTGAGCGACCGACTTCGGCTCAGGTCATGATCTTGCGGTCTGTGAGCCTGAGCCCTGCATCGGGTTCTGGGCTGATGGCTCGGAGCCTGAAGCCTGCTTCTGATTCTGTGTCTCCCTCTCTTTCTGCCCCTCTCCCACTCATGCTCTGTCTCTCTCTGTCTCAGAAATAAATAAACATAAAAAATTAAAAAAAAAAAAGAACTAAACATATGCGATAGAATGATACCCACTTGGGTGGTCTTGGTATGAAAGCCTGGGAGCTGTGAATCTAAGAACGGGAAATATTCCTTTGAATGGTTATATATTTAGATCAGCTGTTTGTAAATGGGTAGATCCTGTTTTAGATACCAAGGCAGGGATCTGAATACACAAAACATATTTTATGTTCAGACTTGTGCATTATTTGTGAAATGCATTGTGATGGTGAGGACTGAGGTTTTCTTCTCCTGGGTCTCCACAAGATCTAGCCTTCTCACTTGCTTCCTTAGGCTTGTAAAACTCGTGGATACATTTTTAGTCTGGGACTCTTATCTGTCTTGACTGGATTTATGTTAGTCATTACCTATTACTGTGATTCATCTTTTTTCATTTGCTTTGCCTTTAAACAAAATTTATAATTTCTACTATTTAAATTGAATCCACCTTTTCAAAACACTGGTTATTTTTTCTACTGTGGTGTCATTTGTAATGTTTCATTCCACCTTGACTTTGATAGTCCTACGTGTAATCCCAAAAAGAACAGGAAAAGAAAAATCCTTCCAATCACTTTAGAATTTGTGCCTCTGAAATATTAAAACATATTCTCAGTTAATTGGATGGTAATTGTTTTATTTGGCCTATAAAATGACCGCCTTTGGATCCTTCCCAAACCTGTAAATAAGCTGGTGGTGTCTTTGTTTCTTCACTCCTCTTCAAAGGGAGGCTTTTATTTTTTTACCTTGGGTGCGACACCAGGTAGAGTTTCTACGTGTGACTGAGCTAAGAATGACAGCGTTCTAACTGAGGAGGTACTACACAGATATTTGGTGACTGAATGAATGATTATATTCACATATGAGAGTTTATTGGGGATAATTAAAAAGCGTTAATTAGAAATTAAGAGTGGTTTTGAGTAATATAAAATCAAAAGACTTGATTAGGTATCTGGGGTGATTTATATGAATATATAATCAAATAACAATGATAATGGACAGTAAAAACAGTAATGCAATATTAATTTACTGTCTTCTTATTTAACCTATTAATGCCTTAAAGGAACTGAATGATGTATATCACTAATATCAAAGACAGAGTCCATTTTTCATTCAATAGAAAAGATACACAAGATTTTCTGAAAAAGGGTAATAATAACACTTTTGAAACTGAACTGCTGCTGTTTTTAGAGACTTTCATATAAAATGTATGTTTTTATTCTCAGTTCTGAAAAACAATTCACTGTTAATATATTCAATTCCAAATATGTATGTACTTAAAAGCCTTTTTAAAAAATCTTTCTCAAAATTATTTATTATATACTTAATGCCCTTAAGTGTGTTTGTAAAAAAGAGAAACACTGTCCCTTCATATTTGTTGAGAAAGTGACATCTGAAATAGGGAACAGACATTACCATTCAATACCAGTTTTCATGACCTTTGATTGTTTTTTTTCCTTTACCTATTCTCTCATGGTAGTAATCAGCCTGAGTGGATATGATGGAGACAAACAAGACACAGGTGACGCAGTTTGTTCTCACAGGACTGACAGATCGTTCAGGAATGCAGGCCCCCCTGTTCCTGGTGTTCTTGGTCATCTACCTCACCACCATGGTGGGCAACCTCGGACTGACTTTCCTCACCTGGAAGGACCCCCATCTTCACACCCCCATGTACTTATTCCTTGCTAGTTTGGCCCTTGCAGATGCCTGTTCCTCATCCTCTGTGACTCCAAAGATGCTAATGAATTTTTTATCTAACAATCACATGATATCCCTGGCTAAATGCATCACCCAATTTTATATTTTTGCTTCCAGTGCCACCACAGAGTGTTTCCTCTTGGTAGTGATGGCCTATGACCGCTACGCAGCCATATGCAACCCCTTGCTTTATCCAGTGGTGATGTCCAACCGACTCTGTACCTGGTTGATAAGTGTGTCATATGCGATTGGTTTTCTGCATCCCGTCATTCATGTGGGATTATTGTTTAGATTAACCTTCTG